AAAAAAAAAAAAAAAAAAAAAACTCACACGCAGTCATCACTGCTGGTCTGGGAGGCCGAGGTGTTGGCCTATGTCGGGGAAACATATGATGCCCTTCACAGTCCTCCCTCATCATGTGATTCTCCGGAGTGGGCGGTGCTCATGCCTGAGGGCAGCCGGGCACCGTGCAGGACGGACTCCTGTCAGCCCCTGTGCCAGTGAGCACCAGGAGAGCAGCAGCCCTCGGGAGGAGTGGCTAAGAGCCACAGTTTGGCAGTGTGCGTTAGAAACACAAGCCCTTCTCCAAGGAGGAGGAGGTGTGTCCTCTCTCAGCTGCCCTGTGTGGCTTTTCCTGCCGTCCTTCCCCGGGGAAAGCCTCTGCGTGTGCGCGTGTAAAAGGAGCATTTGCGCACGTGCGTTTTCCCCACCAACTTTGTACTTTGCTTTTCTGATAATATTTTACTTAACATCAGTCTCCATCAGTTTGGAACTATTCTATTCCTTTTTTTGTTGTTGTTTTTGAGATGGAGTCTCGCCCTGTTGCCCGGGCTGGAGTTCAATGGTGCGATCTCAGCTCACTGCAACCTCCGCCTCCTGGGTTCATGCCATTCTTCTGTCTCAGCCTCCTGAGTAGCTGCAATTACAGATGTCCACCACCATACCCGGCTAATTTTTTGTGTTTTTAGTAGAGACAGGGTTTCACCATGTTGGCCAGACTGGTCTCGAACTCCTGACCTTGTGATCCTCCTGCCTTGGCCTCCCAAAGTGCTTGGATTACAGGCATGAACCACTGCCACCAGACTTGGAACTGTTCTATTTCTTAGTAAACAGGCTGTGTGTTCACCTAGTCTTCTTTTTTTGGGACAGGGTCTTGCTCTGTCACCCAGGCTGGAGTGCAATGGCCCAGTCTTGGCTCACTGTAGCCTCTTCCTCCCCGGTTCAAGCAATTCTCCTGCCTCAGCCTCCCAAGTAGCTGGGGTAACAGGCATGTGCCACCATGCCCTGCTAATTTTTTTTGTATTTTTAGCAGAGATGGAGTTTCACCATGTTTGTCAGACTGGTTTTAAATTCCTGACCTCAGGTGATCCACCCTGCTCGGCCTCCCAAAGTCCTGGGATTACAGGCATGAGCCACCATGCCTGGCCCTATTCTTCTTTTTCTGAGACAGGCTCTGGCTCTGTCACACAGGCTGGAGTGTAGTGGTGCGATCATGGCCCACCACAGCTTTGACCTCCTGGGCTCAAGCGATCCTCCCTCGGATCTGGGATTACAGGCACACCACTACACCTGGCTAATGTCAATTTTTTCTTGTTATTGTTTGGAGATGAGGCCTCCTTGTTTTTCTGTGTTGCCCAGGCTCATCTTGAGCTCCTGGGCTCAAGCGTTTCTCCTGCCTTGGCCTCCCAATGCACTGAGATTACAGGCATGAGTCACTGCACCCAGCTCGCCTGTTTTTTATTATTGCCAAATTCCCAAACAGTTGAGGACCTCAGAGTCTCACTTTGATAGCATGTCTGTTCTTCCTAATCATAAACTGTGGTTTCATTTTGGATTAGTATATGAAAAGAAATCCATATGTGATCTAGTTTCTTTCCTTTATGTCAACATATTTTCCTCTAAGAAATTGTGTAATTGATTGTTCCAGATAGTTGCATTTATGTTAGAACCAGTGGATCAAGTTCTCAGAGAGATGTTTTCGGGAATGAAATATCCAATGAGGAGGAAATTGCAAAATTCACAAGAAGTGATTCCTGGTCTATTTTTGGACAAAATTGGAGATTTGATAACATTGGAGATCAGCACCAATTCCCAGAGAGGCATCTGAGGTGAGTGGCACTCAGCCAGAGGGAGGGGCCTCTCCACAGAGCGTCAGACCAATGTGCAATTAACAGAAAAGTGTAAACAGCTACAGAGTTCTACAGTCTCAGACGCTTTTTTCTTTTTACTTCCTCTTTTTAAAAATATATTTTGATAATTACTTTTATTTAAATTAATTAATTAATTCGAGACAGAGTCTTGCTCTGTCGCCAGGCTAGAATGCAGTGGCATGATCTCGGCTCACTGCAACCTTTGCCTCTTGGGTTCAAGCGACTCCCCTGCCTCAGCCTCCCAAGTAGCTAAGACTAAAGGTGCATGCCACCACGCCTGGCTAATTTTTTGTATTTTAGTATAGACGGGGTTTCCTCATGTTGGCCAGGATGTTCTCGATCCTCTCACCTCATGATGTGCCTGCCTTGGCCTCCCAAAGTGCTGGGATTACAAGTGTGAGCCACCGTGCCCAGCTTGCTTGCTTGCTTGCTGATTGATTGATTGATTGATTGAGACAGAGTCTTACTCTGTTGCCCAGGCTGAATGGAGTGCAGTGGCGCAATCTTGGCGCACTGCAACCTCCGCCTCCCGGATTCAGGTGATTCTCTTGCCTCAGCCTCCTGAGTAGCTGGGGCTACAGGTGCGTACTACCACGCCTGGCTAATATTTTTGCATTTTTAGTAGAGATGAGGTTTCACCATGCTGGTCAGGCTGGTCTCAAACTCCTGACCTCGTAATCCGCCCACCTTGGCCTCCCAAACTGCTGGTATTATAGATGTGAACCACTGCACCCAGCCTATTTGTTGATTTTTGAGATGGGGTCTCCCTCTGTCACCTAGGTGAAGTGCAGTGGCTCTGATTTTGGCTCACTGCAACCTTTGCCTCTTGGGCTGAATCAGTCCTCCCGCCTCATCCTCCTGAGCAGCTGGGAAGACAGGCACACACCACTGCACCTGGCTCATTTTTGTATTTTTGTAGAGATGGAGTTTCACCATGTTGCCTAGGCTGGTATCAAACTCCTGGACTCAAGCAGTCCACCGCCTCGGCCTCCCAAACTGCTGGGATTACAGATGTGAGCCACCGTGCCTGGCCAAGACTTTCATAAGAGTATTTTCATGAATGTGTTGTTGATGTTGCGTGTCTGAAACAGTTGGAAACAATATCAGGAAACCTCATGTATAAGAAACACTGGGCTGGGTGCGGTGGCTCATGCCTGTAATCCCAGCACTTTGGGAGGCCGCTGAGGTGGACGGATCATGAGGTCAGGGGATCGAGACCATCCTGGCCATGGTGAAACCCTGTTTCTACTAAAATACAAAAAATTAGACAGATGTGGTGGTGCACACCTGTAGTTCCAGCTACACAGGAGGTTGAGATGGGAATTGCTTGAACCTGTGATACGGAGGTTGCAGTGAGCCGTGATCAAGCCACTGCACTCCAGCCTGGCGACAGAGCAAGACTCTGTCTCAAAAAAAAGAAAAAGGCTAGGTGTGGTGACTCACACCTGTAATCCCAACACTTTGGGAGGCTGAGGCAGGTGGATCACGAGGTCAAGAGATCGAGACCATCCTGGCCAAGGTGAAACCCCATCTCCACTAAAAATACAAGAAAATGAGCCAGGTGTGGTGGTGCGTGCCTGTAGTCCCAGCTACTCGGGAGGCTGAGGCAGGAGAATTACTTGAAACTGGAAAACGGAAGTTGCAGTGAGCCGGGATTGTGCCACTGTACTCCAGCCCGGCAATAGAGGTG